CATCCAGGATGAAGTGGTCTGCAGTTTAAACCTCGCCTAGGTCCCACGAGCACCGCCAGCGGGCACTACCCGGGTTCGAGTATCTCTAGGAGTGCTGCTGAGACCCAGTCAAGGTCGAAATTGCAGTGCACCCTGGATAAGAATACTTTTTGGAAAGCAAGGCTGTGCAAAATTTAATATAAACGTGAGGCCTACACATGATTGTGGAAAGATTCAACTTTTAGTCCCTCATCACCTTAAACGAAACAGGGTGTACATACTTTATGTACAAATAATCTGCTGGTAGTCTCGAAAACATACTCGTAAAAACAGAAAATACCACTCATGTCCTTGGGTTATTAAACCTTGTTAACTCTGAACTGGTTTCAGCTTGGCTTTGTGACTGATAGTTCATATTCTTACTTGACACGCACAGATGCAAGTACACACAAAAACTCAAACAAACAAAGTTTACAGATTAAAATAAAAATTGTTGAGCTTACTTCCATTTCAGATGAAAGAATATGCTAAGGAGGTTTGAAGGTCAAATATAACATTAGATTTATAAAGAATACCTTTTTTAATGGTTGATACGTAAAGATAGATAAATAGACCTTATCTAAGGTTTTGTCTTTGTCTACGTGTATTATCTATAAAAAGACTAACTAGTAAGGAAGTGGTGAATGAGAACGGTTTTCAGGGAAGCTATGATGGTACAGTTATTTTCGCTTTTATAGAGACATTATCTTGGTCATGTTGCTATAGCATAATGTGCTCATGCTGTCGCTTTTATGCTAGAGAGACTTGTCGTTCCATCCGGCAAAGAGTGGCTGAGCATAAGAACACCTGTATAGGTTATTAAGTTCAAAAATCTGAGTTGGCTGAGCGCATGGCAGAAATTTGGCTTGTATTTAAATATTTTTCGTTTGTAAGTAGAGCTTCGAGACTACCATTAAATTAGTAATATGAGATGTATTCACCCTATTTCGTTTAAAGTGATAAATTTTTTCACAATGATATGAGTAGAGCTGGCGTTTCCGTTGAACTTCAAATAGCCTTGCTTTCCCACCCTGGATGAGAACAACTTTTTGGAAAGCAAGGCTGTGTGATTGAAAAGTTTCAAACTTGTTTTTTTGCTGATTATGATGTGAATAGTATTCACTCTAATTCATTTAAGGTGATGAAGAACTGGTACTGAAATTTTTTCACAATCATATAAATAGAGCAGACGCTTCTATTGAATTTTACATGGTCTTAATTTCCCATAAGGTGTTCTGGGTCTTGCCAGGAAGTCCTGCCATTATTACCACTGAGCAAGTTAGTCAAAAGATAGACTTCACTTGTCTATTTGGCGAGTTGTAGTTTGATGCTAAGATTGACACGACTTATTGATGATGCCGATTATGCTGCCTGCGAAACGTATGGGAATGTACCGAGCCCACGGCCCAACACTGAGAAATAGGATAACTACTTTAGCAGAAGACTTCGGAGAATAAACATCGAGCCAGGACACTCTGATAACAAGACCAAGTTGGTTAAACGGTGTCAGGTCACCTCCTCTCGACATAGTGTTTACTTAAAACATCTAAAAAATGTGATATGAGGAGGCGTCAAATATGAGGAAGGAAGGTATGAATACCAAGATGGTGTGGCCTTTTGTGTAGTCGCAGTCTCCTTTGGTTGTATAGAAGTTGTTTGATCTTGTTTTCGCAACATGGTCATATTAGTAGGAAGACTTAGAGGAACGCACCAAGTCCGGAGTCCATTGTCTGCATGATCATTTCCAAAGTTGAAACGTGGACGTGGTACATTCACAAACGTTGCCAGCATCGTAGTCGGCATCTTCAGTGAGTATCGCCATTCTTAGTACCATACAACAACTAATCAAAGGATCGGCTTCACTTGTCTCTTTGACGAGTTGTTGTATGGTGCAGCATGAATTTTTTTGTACTAGAATTTTATACTGACTTAAGTCATGCGTATCTTCATTGAGGTTATATCTGGTTTAAAAACTAGTCCTATGTTAAATTCTTTCTTACTATTAACCGAGCGAATCTACCGACTCAAAATCGCACAGTAGGTGAAAAATAAAAGCCCGTCTTGGTGAATCCTATATAATTGGTGTGTCTATGGGAGGATGGGGGAAACTTGCACTCAGATAACACTTATTGTTTGCTCGGTCAAGCTATAGCCAGTGATATGTGTGCAAAAAGCAAATTCTATATGCCCCTGAAGCAAGGACTTTCTGGAAAGTTCGAGGTCTGAACAACACCATTTAAATCGAAGTTATGAAGACCAAGATGGTGTGGCCTTCGGTATGGTCGCAGCCTTCTTTCGATTTATTGAAGTGAGTTGACCTTGTTTTCGCAACTTGGTCTTGTTGTCAGGGTGACTTTGTTGAACACACCTTGTCCAAAGTCCTCTGTAATAGTAGTTACTATAATTCGCAGCATCAAACTGTGGACCTGGTACATCCGCAGACGTTTCGTCAGCATCATCAGTGAGCCTTGCCAAACTCAACACCAAGCTACAATGTGCCAAAGAGACAAGTGAAATCAATCCCTTGACAACGTTCTGTCGAAACAGTCGCACTATCACTCCTCTTTCTGTCTTGGCCCATCTACTACTCCCTGCCCTCTTATCCAAATCAGGCCCTATCACAACTTCTGACTTGTTTACATTCCACTGGTCAAAAGGTGTCCTTTCTTAGGCTTTTATTCCCATGTCTGCAAATATTAGACATTGCCTTTACGGGTCGTTCGTCTACTTGATTGAACTAGTATTACCTGAGCAAACTATGGACGTCTATCCCTGGTTGCCTGCCGAATCTCAAGTGGATTTCGAGTATGATACTGGCGTATCATTTCGTTTGAGAGGGCGGGTCGAAGGGATTCGTAGATTAGCCTCATCGGATATCGCAGAAGAATTGCCTTGGATTTTTGTCAGTTGAATTGTGTGAAGAAGACCTCGACTCACAGTCTTGAGACCACGATGATTCTGTGCTGAGCTCTCGTCCGTCCTATGGTGGGTATCGTCAGAGCAAGAAATCATTTTTCACGAAAAATCACGAAAAATCACTAAATCCAGAAAGGGTGGCCAGCTGAGATCCTACTTACTTCTTATACCTCATTTTGCTATCTTAAGTGGATTTCCAGTATATTTTGGCCAAAATGTACTAGAAATCAATTGAGATGCCTCATGCGACCAGAGATAGGCGTCCACAGTTTGCTTAGGCAACACGGGTTTAATCAAGGAGACAGTCCATGTAATCAATGCCTAACATCTGCAAGCAATAGAATCAGAGTTTAGGTGCTCTGCTCGGTGAGGCGGCGGTGTACGTGCTTCTAGGGGCTTGAGAAATAATTTTTGGAATAAAACGTACACTGAGACTGAAACCGAGTGAAATCGGTCAAGCAGATAGATAAGAAACGGAACTACGGGACCATGAGGGAGATCCGGATATGAGGCCCGACTCGGATTAGCCGATCGAAAGAGAGAAGGCCAAGGTGAACAGTAGGTATGATGAGACCACACTAAGTTTGCCAAAAAAAGGCACATCTTTCGACGACTAGAGTATAAAAAAGTCAGAAGTTATTATAGTACGGGATTAGGATAAAAGGGCAAGGAGTAGATAAATGGGCCAGGGCAGAAAGAAGTGATAGTTTAACTGTTTCTACGTAATGTTGGTCGAGGAGTTGTATCTCGGTGTTGAGAATGGCAAGACTCATGATGATGCCGGCGAAACGTCTGAGAAGGTGCCGAGTCAACGATCTGGTGCTGGGAATTATG